GACGCGGTGACGGAAGGATCCAGGCTCGGCTGGGGGAGGCACCTCGGCTGCGCCGTGATGTGGATTCCTTTACTTCCCTGTTATCCTGAGCCCTCGGGACTAGGGGCAACAGAGTCAGTGACCTTAGGATAAAACAAAATAGAAAAGGTACCTCTGCGGCCACAGGGATCAGAGACCCAACGCACGGTGGGGTGGGGGGTGGGAAGGAATGGGATTCCCCCTTCCATCACTAGACAGGGGTTTGTGAACAAGGGCATCTCAGTTACCATGAAGAGCCTCGCATGACACCCTGCTTGGGACACCAGCACACACATGCACCACCCTCCTGGCCTTTTTAGCTCTTGGACCAGGAATGATCATGTCCCACGGTCATTGTGGTGCAGCTGCTCTTTCTCCTTCGACCACTAGAGGCTGCTCTATCCCCGCCGAAGGCCTCTCCGTGGCTAATTCCTCAGGGCTGGTGTGGTAGAGATGGAGGAGTCTGGTCAAGTCCTGCGCCCACAGTATGGACTGGAGGTGGCAGTGTTTACCAGGCTCTGACTTGGTGACAGTGACAGCGACTCCAACAGTAGCTTGAACTTGTCCTTAGTGTGTTCCAGAGCCTTGCCACAGATTGGCTCCTGTAATCCTTCCAGGCCCTGGAATGTAAGTACTCAACCCACATGCTGGAAAGGTGAGTCTCAGGAAATAGATGCCATCTGCCTTGAGTCACAGCACAACCCAGATCAGTCATGAGTTCATAAAGAATTTTCTTCCAAATCCGAAAGCCAGAGACAAACTATTGCTCTATTATTTATTTATTTATATATTTACTTATGATGAGTCCAGGGCACTTGGACTGAGCTACTCTTTTGAAGCCAGGCCTGTTGGTGCACGCTTGTAATCTCAGTACTCAGGAGGCTGAGGCAGGAGGATCGCTGGGAGTTTGAAGTCAGCCAGGACTACATAGTGAGACCCTCTCTCAAAACAAACAAACAAACAAACACAAAAATTTCTTTTGAGACAGGCTAAGTTCCAAAGTTGCCCAGGCTGGGTTTGGACTTGTAGTCCTTCTACCTCAGCCGTCTAGAGTGCTGTTATTATAGGTATTTGCTAGCCACGTGTGGTTAGCAGTTGCTGTTTTCTAAGCTCCTTCTGTATAGACTTTGTGCAGCCTTTCCATGTAAGATTCACTTACCAAGTATATAATTACTTGTTACTTATTTTGACAAAAATTGTACAATATTTGCTTTTATTAATAGGATAATCCAGTAACCCAAGAGCTTAAGTTTTGGTTCTGTATATGGTACTGGGGATTGAACTCGGGACCTTGTGCTTGCCAGAGGCAGGTGCTTATGCTGCTGAGCTGTCTCCCCAGCTTTGGTTCTGTTTAAAGTTTAGCTCTTTTTCTCAGTGACAGCTTTCGGTATGAC